TCATGTTTTATACTCTACTACGCCACTACGCTACTACGCTATAGTTTATTATATGTTTCATGTTTTATACTCTACTACGCTACTACGCTACTACGCTATAGTTTATTATATGTTTCATGTTTTATACTCTACTACGCTACTACGCTATAGTTTATTATATGTTTCATGTTTTATACTCTACTACGCCACTACGCTACTACGCTCTAAAAAAAGGTGTGTTAATTTAACACACCTTTTTGTCCAAATTTTAACACACCTTTTAACAACACAGCTTAAGGTGTGTTTAACACACCTTAAGGTGTGTTCTAAAACCCACCTTCAGGTGTGTTTTAGGCTTGTCCAGGTTTTAACACACCTTAAGGTGTGTTTTGTATAAAGGTGTGTTTTTGAGCACACCATGGCGTGTTTTCGTACACACCATGGCGTGTTTTCATACACACAATGGCGTGTTTTAAAACACACCTAAAGCTGTGCTGTCTAACACACCATTCAAGTCTGTAATGTTTACAGCACGTTGTAAGGTGTGTTTCATAACACACTAAGGTGTGTTACATAACACCATAGATATCTTATATACACTAGATAGTGCATCTAATTATTCTGCAATTCAAAAATTGAAGCCGTGATTGCAGTCTCAGGTCGTTCCCATGAAATGAGACGATTCGTATGTTTTCGGTTTCTTAAACAGGGAACTTAAACATTAAGTTAACCCTATTCCAAATACGTTTTAAACTATTCAAATGATGAAAGTTATTGTTGTTTTTAAGCGTTTAATATAGCAAGTGGGAACGACCAACATGGCCGCCATCTATTCAAATGGGGGTAACCGCTGGGATATTTTTGGCTTCAATTTTACTAAAAGAGATGCGCTATCTACTTCTGCCGGCAGAAAATCATCACGGTTTCAACTGTTCACACGATACCGGCAGATTATATTCTGCTTTGACAATATGCTGCACAAATCAGTTAAACTAGACAGAATAAAATATCCAACAACAGCTTTTGCAGTTTTGTTAATTTTATTTGGCATAACCGTAATGAAATTCTTAAGGCCCAAACAGACCGGACGCGATTTGGCAACGCGACGCGAATTTTCTGTTTTCAATGACATTTAACTTTAATATATTTCAAAGATTTTCCAATATTCGGAACCGCTTAAGCATTTTAGCTAGTGGTCAGCATATCTTGTAAAATTTTTATCCGTTGACGGTTTTATTTGTTTTTGAAAACTGAAAATTCGCGTCGCGTTGCCGAATCCCGTCCGGTCTGTGTGGGCCTTTAAACGTAAGAATTTCGTACCAATTTCAAACTCTGCATGCCGGTATCGTGTGAACGGGGTGTAACAGTACAAAATATACAATACACAATTTTACAACACATATATATTAAAAATCACGCCTAGTTTCCATGAATGCTGCGATATATAAAACAGAATAAAATATTAAATTATCGAATAAAGTTGCTGCAGTCAGATTTAAATTTAGGTAAGGTAGTATAGCTTGCCGCAACTCAGAAGAAAGTGAATTCCACAATACCGCCCCACTATAGCTGAAACTATTTTTGAAAATAGTTTCAGGGTTCAATTTTTCGCCTGATGAACGTTCACGCCTTGAATCTTAAGCCCGTTTCCCACTGGATGGATTTGTTCGCACGAAGCCGGAAAAAGTTTCGGTAATGCGAATGGTTAGTAAAAAACTGGATCGCTGCGAAAAATTATATATTCAGCCAACCAACCACATTTTCGAAATTTGTTTTTCGCTTCGCGAGAATGAATTTGCCTAGTAGAAAACGAGCTTCGGGCACCGGGTCAGTGGTGTCACTTTGTGGCCACAATTGTCCTATAGCTCTGAAGGTCGTGAACAGCTTTTATACAATTTCCCCCGGCTAATTTCAGTTCTTTTTAACAGACCGTATCGCAACCTCGTTCCCAGGGCTTTTCCCGTTTTGTAATTGGGAAGGCGGGAGAAAAAAGGTAAAGCCCTGGGAACGAGGTTGACCGTATCGCTAAACAAATTATCAATTCATAAAACCATTGTTATTCTGAAATCGGACGGTCAAAATACGAAATTTTGGCACACCCACAGTTCCAGTCCCTATCTATTGTTTTTTGTCTGCGCGGTTAACAAAACTTTGGTCCAGATGTATATGGAGCTCACTGGTTTGTGGACGTTGCGTCGAGGTACGCGCGGGAGGGTAGCCCACGCGGGTTGAATGACAAGTCAGTTAGTCACAGCCCATAAAATATTTATTGTTGCCTGTTTTATGTACTATTTAAAATACGAGTAGGAGTGTTTTATTAGATATAAAACGCGAGGCGCAGCCGAGCGTTTTATGTCTGATAAAACACTCTTACTCGTGTTTTAAATAGTACTTAAAATACGACTACAAAAGAATACTAATTAGGATGAACCATTATATAATGCCTCGTGCTTTATCCACTGAGATATAAAGTCACTCCATGCACGTGATATATTATGGCCGACATGATTTGCGGCAAGGTTTATGAATTATTAATGAGTATTTTAAATTTCATTTAATATCTTTAGGCGTAATTTTCTATATTTTACGCGAAATAATACAAAAATTAAGATTTCAATAACTGTTTTAGCCCTGATCAGTCGTTCTAACTTGATACAAAATGTTAAAAATCAGTTCCATTATTATGTTTCCATTTCTCGGAGAAAGTAATTCATCGGTTGTCCAGTTCTGATGTGACCTTCGTAAGCTTCAAGCCAGACTCGTCCCTTCATCACGACTTCATACAGCGAGATGCGATCTGTCCACCGACTGCTGTGGTAATGACAAATTTTTAAACACCCATCGCGTTTCGACAGAGTATGGGTGGTGGAACTACTTCCCCAGTTAGGCATTGGTTTCGGCGAGGAAACCACAACCATTTCTGGTACTGAATTTGGAAAATTTTCAATGTAGATTCTCAACGTATATCTGTTGTCGTTGTTTGTTCTCAGTGTAACTTCTACTTTCGTATCTCCTGTCGGATTGATCCATTTCACACAGCCAGGAAAATAACGATTTAGTTCGCTTTTCTCTGTCGCCAGTCGTTCCCTTTGAGCTTGACTCCAAGACATATTTTGTTATTTTGCTACAAGAACGCTGCAAGACTTTGATTATTCGTTTTCAATTTTCAGGGATACCAGTATACGTTTGTTTTGTTCGTTTCCCAGAATCCAAACTGAAAGTGACCCGTTTAATACTTACTGGCAATCCGGAAGAGTTTAATTAAAGTTCCCGGAAGGAAGACTCGCGGATTAATCGGTATATATATGACCCCTAGATCGCTCGTGCATGCTCAAAGCATTATTAAAGTGCTTTTATTTCACACATTTTCAACCCCAACGCCCAATTAACGTTTTGCTGATTGCTTTGTGTAATATTTAAAGGCCCTGTCACACTATTGCGTATCGTATTAGCGCATGCCAGCGTATGAAAAATATCACTCATACGCTGGGAAACGCTGACATACGCTAGGGGTATACGTTAATACATAGGTTGTATAGGGCCTACGTTTCAAGCACGGTCGCATACGGTACATGGCATACGGCGAGGCAGAAACTTTTTTTAAGCATGCTTAAAAATTTTGCGCGTATGCGGACGTATATACGGTTTATGCGATGAGCATACTCTAGGCACACGCTGAATACGCTAGAGGTATACGCTAGATGTACCGGTACTCATACGCTGACATGTCAAAGGATTTGTGTGCGTATCAAAATTACGTTAATTATCAAAATTTCATACGTTTCTTATACGTTTCACTCATACTTCATTAATTTAAACTGATCTTATGCAGGATTTTGTTAACTTGCTTCTTTTTTGACGGCTATTTCTTCAGATACTTGTGACAAATGTGTGGTCATATTACATAGCTAGTTGAATAGTAGTAGACATTTAATGTGTTATTTAATAAGCAATTTTACAAAGTATCTAAATATATAAAATCAGTCAGGCAGTTCCTTTTTCAGTTTCCCTTTTAATGTTACTAGTTCGTGATTACATGTGACGGATTCACCATACACAAATAAGCTAAACCTCTACAGCATTTCTTCGGTTACCCCAGGAAAAATTAACATTGAATAACTACCGTACGTAAAACATTACTGCCAAACTAGCTATCCCATTTAAACGCTCGGTGAATTATATGAAAAACATGTTTATAGGTAGATATTAATAATCATATTACATATACAGATATACTGTCATATTAACATTCTTCATTCTGTGAAATACCCGGCAGCAGCCATAGCTATTGCAATGACATTAGCAGGATTTGTTGGTAGGTGTAATTCC